TTCTGAAAACACTAAAGCTGGTGATGAAGATGTCACAGAAGAGGAAAATATATCAACCACATTTTACACTGTCGGGAGAGGGGTTATCTAAGCTATATGAGGCTGTTGCAGTGTGCCCCACAACAAAGCGCGCTTCAAGTAATATTTTGGGACTGAAAGTTGTTCTCATGGGTGCTCCTCTTGTCACTATTTTCCAAATGGTATCTCACAACTCTTATGCGTTTTTGCACATTTGTTTATAATTTTTGTTGTAAGCTCCTCTTTGAGCAGGAGAAATATGACAACTAAATGGATACGGCTAATGATGGAATTTTCCCATTTCACATTTCCCAATTACAATTTTGTTATCGTATCATTTAAAGTTCTTACTTTTTAATTAAACTTGAAAGTAAGAAAGTTTATCGAATGAAATTGAATTACGACCGCACAAGTTTGCATGGAAACATACTACAATTAACAGAAACCAACGTCAAAATGGAAATCCAGATAACTCACCAAACTTATTTCCATATTTTCACACGAAAACCAGTATCTTCTCACTTTTCACTTTTCCCATGAGAAATTAGAGAACAGAATATGGAAACAGTTCCATACATCACCATGGGCCTTTTTAGGGTATTCCAGCTTTGTTGTATTTTTGCTTCATGTCGGCATGTCCTTTATTTTGTATTGAGTTAAACATTATCCCCATAAGAGGTTTTAACTACCTTGTTCTAGAGACACAAATTTAGGCTCATTACATTTTCCTCAAGTTTTCTCTACTTAGATATTTCTAACTTTGCAGGATAAAGAAATGCTTTCAAGGTTTTTGAGTTGGGCAGTTACAACTGCAATCCAGTCAAAGTTAGAAAAAACGACTCAACCTAAAGAATCCCTTGTATGTAAGCTTTTGCGTTGGCTGATGGCCTCTGTGATCCTTGCAACCGTATCATGTAAGTTAAAGAAACTCAACAATTACAGTCTATTGGGAAAGCCGAGCCTCAACAGTTTGCAATCTTGGTTGGAATTTGACGAGAAAAGATTTGAAAAAGATGTAATATGCGGGTGTGAAGTCATATTAGCTGCCTCGATATTTTACTTGCTACAGCTGGAAGGCTTTAACCATAATTTGCTCCCGTCAGCTGTTTCTGCACTCTGTTTCCTACTTATTCCGGGCTCAGGTTCACTTTTTCACCTTAGAATCCGTTCTCATCAATTATGCCTGTTATTGTATTATATTCCAAATATCCACAATCTAATGAGGTGAGCTCTACATTTCTGGATTTTATGACTGGGACGTGTCTCTGAAAGGTGTACCACTCTTAGTAATTATCATAATACAATATGATTTTGTTGTAGAGAACTTGACAGTTGATGGTTATTGTGGACAAGAAAAAAAAAACAAATTGGTTCTCTTTTGAGGGAAATTAGAAGCTGAAATTCTTTTGGGTAATGGATTTGAAACAAATGAGTTCGAATCCCTCATATGGTTGTTTTGAATTTGAAAATAGTTATCATACAATGAATTTGAAATCGTTGTAAGCTATCGTGGTGTTGTTTTGGAAAATACAAACTGTATTAGATGGAAACTCTGGGAATTTAGTTTGATTTGAAATTTTCGTGGGAATTTGGTATCATGATTATATGGAGTACTCGAGAAAAATGATATGGCGAGACATCAAGTGTGTTGAGTTGTTGATTTCAGTTTTCTTATCTTCGCTTATATAATTTTCGCAAACATCTATCACTAAATGAGTTCTCTCAATTATTCAGAGTTGGAATCGTTGGTTGATCCTAAGTATGCTTTGCCCTTGCTTTGTTCAAAAATACGGTGTCCTGTTGAAGCAAATCCTGCCTGGAGATGGTAAGACAATTCTATTCATTATTTTTTTTTTTTTTTTGAATATATACACCTCATATATATCTGTAGGGACGAACAAGTCATACATAACATCGGTAAATATATCGACCTAAAAGCCTAAAGCTTATTAGTTATTATTCACTGGGTTTAGCCTAATTACTTACTCAGTAAGTCCACGATATGACGTTCACACATGAAAATTTAAATGCGATGATCATCAAGTTAAAGGTCATACTTTTGGGAACTATTCACATTGTTAGATAGTTCTTGAAGATAGCTACCTGCTCCTATTTTTCGTTCGTTTTTTCTCTTTTATTTCAATCATTGTTGCATCATTATGTGGTTACTTACATCATCTTTTATATTTGGGAACTGAATTGATGAAAATCTGCATTATTGCACAGGTCATATTACCAGCCTTGGAGAGACCTAACCATGAAACTCAGTGATACTGAGAAATTGGATGAAATTCATGCTGCTGAAATACTGCTGATAGTGGCTTCTAATATTGTATTGAAAAAATCTGGGTTTTCGCAATTATTCCCACTTAATGATGTCGATAACTTGCGGGTACATGAATGGGAAAGAAGCCTAATTCAGCCAGAGTAATTTTTTCCTAATCTAATTGGGATTGACTGTTATTTGGTCGAATTTGAATATTCGTCTTATATTTTATGTATGATATGTTTAGCTTAAACACTTTTTCCTGAATCATGTAAATTAGACTAAGGTTGAGTATTAAGGGCAGTAGAGTATACCAGTTTGATTTATGTTTCTTAAATAGGAAAAGGAAAATGTTATGTTATTAAACCTCAGCACGGGGAAATGTAACTATTGAGAAATCGTGTAGTTCTTTGAACGCTCTTCATGATTTTGGTATGCTTGTTGAATATGTTAAACTTTTGCGGACAACGAATAATATCCTGTAAATATAGTCCGAAATTGATATGAGTCTTGGAATTAAAATAGAAAGGCTTCTGCAACCTGCACCGAAATGTACCTCAAGGTAGTATTACCAAATCTATAACAACAAATATTGCACAACCCGCCGGTACTAACTATCGGGGAGGAGTTCAATTAAATTCATCCAAGAGAAAAAAAAAAATGCATTAATAGAGTATGCATTACTCAATTAAAAGCATGCATGCAAGAGGCAAATTAAAAAAAAAAAATAAAAAATTGAAGCCACCGATTAAAAAATAAAAACGATTAATCCAAAAATAAATAAATAAATAAAAACGATCAAAAAACGAAAAATTGAAGCCAACATGTTATAAAACAAAAACATATATATTAATTAATTTATTTCAAATAACAAATGAGCTTAAGTTTTTCATTCAAGTTGGGCTCAATTAACAAACCAAAGATTTAGCGTTTAAATTATATTTGAGACTTCAATAATAATCGATTTTCTTCCTCGTGTTTAAGATATAATGTCCGTCAATCAATTTAATTACTGACAACATAATTGATTGACTTCTTGAACCGAAGCTAGTACTACTCAAATCTTTATTATTGTGTCGAAAATAAATTAGTCAATCGAGCTTGACATAACAATCATTCTTGAGCTCATTTCGAGGACATCATCAAACTAACGCACACGGTGACTATAAATAATTTTAACAACACACCATACACATAACACTACTACTCAAAACACGTCAGCCTATTGACCAGATGAATGAATCTCACTTTTTAGTTAATCAAAGTAGTAGCTACTGAGTGTACTTGCATGTTTATGATCTTACGGGTTAAGAACACGCAATAATTACCGAGGTCTAGTTTATTTACTTGATCAATATAAAATAAACTTATCCTCCGTAGGTTCTGTTCAACACCCACAAAGTGCACTAGTGTAATCAGTCAGTCAAGATATACTGTACAAATAACAGTACAACTGTTAGTGATGAGTCAGTCAATTCCATATAAGATGTTAACAGAAATTCATGTTTTACAAGTAACCAATAATATGATCTTTTGTCAATCCGTGATAAACCATATTATCTGAACGTAAAATATCATAACGTAGAACTGTTTAATTAAACATGATTCTCATTCAAATGGGAGTAGTGTAGAAAAAGACGAGCTTTCAATATACACACTAAAAAACTTTCACTTAAAGCTTTCGTCTTTCCTAGTATACTTTTTTCAAGTCTTATATGTGAAGAACTATTGTCTTAACTGTCATGTATCCGACTTTCTAATCCCTTAACATGGCCATCAACACCTTTAGCCGGAAAGTCAATTCCAAAAGGATCCTCTTGGTCGTCTACCAACGTAACTAGGCGACGAACGCTTTACTCCTTTGCGATCACTTGCACCGAGTCATACTTGCTCTATGCGCTTACTTGTCTTATGAACTTATTATTCCTTTACGTTTATAAAATATGCGACATTTGATTGGAATATGCGATAACTTGATTTGCAAAACTTTCTCGCATATGGTATATTAAGCGGTGGATTTTGATGCAATAACATAATATGCAAAATTGTTTCCCATACATGTTAACTATGCGTCCGATTTGGATATGCGAGTCATAAACTATGTGAAAAATATCGCATAATTATTAAATATGTGACGTTCAATTTGGATATGTGATATCTAAATATGTTAATTTGAATCGCCTATGTGAAATCATGTTGTACTAGATTTAGATGTGCGTTGGTTTATATGCGACAAATCTGACATAAATATTAAGTATGCAGTTCATTTGGATATGCGATTATTATATTGCATATCATTTCGTGAGTCGTGAAGTGAAAAAGAAATTTTTTGATAGGACAATGTGTAAAAGAAAGTGGATGTATATATTTAGGTGTGAAAGATGCTCGGCCAATTATAAAACTAGAAATCTTAAATTTTTAAATGCAATAATAAAGTGCACCCGCCCAAATATAAAACTAGATATCTTAGTTTTTTAAATGTAATAATAAAGTGCATCCAAATTTTTTGTAACCTGATACTAAGTAGAAATTTCAATGGGCAATCCTAAAATTTTCATTAGATATTGAGAATCCAATTTTCTTTTAGCCTATAATTAAGTTAGAAATTGACATTGGGGCATCTATAAAACCTCATTACTTCTGTTTTGTTCAACTATCCAAAACGATATGAACAAGAATCAAGTTTGTTTAATTAGCCAGCACTTATCTGAAAACAATGGTGGTTACTGTGAATAAAGTTGTCCTTGTGTTTTTTCTGGTGTTCTTCAATGCCCTAAAAGCTCCAGCCATGGATTGTCAAATAGGTCTAGTCACTGTTCATGTGAGCAACAATGTTCCTCTTCCAATATTGACATTCCGTTGCCAGTCCAAAGATGATGACCTTGGAACACACAATCTTACAATTGATCAGGAATTTAAGTGGTCATTCTGCGAAAATGTTTTTGGAAGAACATTATACTTTTGTCATTTGTATTGGGGGCGAAAACAAAAGGTTTTTGATGTTTTCCGTGATAGTTTCACTAAAGGTGCTAAGCATGAATTCTATTATCAAGCTAGACGTGAAGGAGTATTTTATTCCGACAATGTTGATACAGATTATGTGAAAAAATATAATTGGGATTAGATATTGTAATATCATGTATTTTGACAATCACAAATCACAATAACGAAATAGAACTACAAGTTTTATGTTCAAATTACGCCTTGTTCGAAGTATTTTGACAATCACAAATCACAATTTTCTGCTAATTTTGTTATCTAATTTTTTTCCAATAAATACTTAGCCCCTCTTTATATTTTGCGATTAAAATAACTGTTCACTACACGCTACAAGAAATTTTGTATTTTGTGCCGATTTTAGTTTTCACAAAATAATTTTTTTCATAATTTTAGGTAAAAATGACAAATTTTATTTTTGGGAGTTACATAATTGCACCTAAATAGTATACAATGTACGTTCACTTAAATGCAGAAGCAATTTTCATAAAACATGAACCTTTCAGTAGAACATCCAACTCTCCATCGAAACTCTTTCATTCAAGTAAGTGTTTGGTTTATACATTAGGTATTACAGCAAAGACTCACTCTTTCTAAGCTACAATGTATTCACTCACCTAACTACTTTTCTGGCCACTCCTCGTGGACTTATACAACTAGATAGAATCTCTTCGTGAGCTTTTCGCTACTCGTCCCAAGCACCTTTAAGTTTTTTATAAAGAAAATCTCATATGCTCAAAGTTAGAGAACACACTCTCTGATTTGAGTACTCATATAAAACAAAATCAAACTCAGTGTATCAGACTCTCGCTCAACCTTGCACGCCCTCAAACAATAATAAAAGTTGTAAGTAACTTGTGTGCAAGCACTTTATACAACACTTCATATGGTAGGTTCATTTCTTCAGTTGCTTCCTAAAAGTAAATCCCATCCCGACTCATTCAATATTTTGTTGCATCTTGCTCCGTCATATATGGTAGGTTTACTTCACAGGAGAACTCCTCCACAAGCTTCCTTCTCTTATATGACAGGTGAATCTTCTATCTTTCCACGCAAGATAAGTCCTGGTTTCTCTCTCTCTCTCCCTCCCTCTCTCTCTCTCTCTTTATGCATGGTAAGTCTTAGTTTCCTTCCTCCTCTCTTCATACATTTTAAGTATCCTCGATTATTTCTTACGTCTGATTAGAAATTAGAATCCTACCCATAGGCTGCATTTGGTTTGCATGATAAGCTAAACATATTATCCTTAGTCCAGTTAAGGAACTTGACTATATGTTATACCACGAACCAATGCGCCCGTAGAATTACTTCGATATCTACAAACTATTTTCATGACAATAATATATATCAGACCTCATTTACTGCATTACGTACACTAGACTTCCTATTGCTAAGCAAAAAGAACTCCCACTATGTCCTTTATCTCTTTAGACTTCTGTTACGAGATATCTCCTTAGACAGAGGAACTCCATTCACCGAATGATTTACAATCCTCCTTGGAGTTTTTGATGCTAAGAATGAGCCTTATGACAGTACTTAGACATGAAGCTCGGGTCACGCTGCGGCTGTCGCGGGTTGTGCGAGTCGCGCAGAATGTACGCGGGTCGTGCGGGTTGTGCGCGGTCGCTTACGGGCTGTGTAGGTCACCTGCAACAGCGCGTGGTGGTGTGTCTGATGAGGCTGAATACGCTGTTGGTTGTGTTGGCCTCTAGTGGTGGTGCTCTCCAAGTTCCGCGGTCGTCAGAGGTGCTGCNAAATATATATATAGGGGATGGATCCAATGAGACCACTCCTTAAAATGAGTACGTGAGACTCAATCTTAGCCACTCATTTTGTCTAGATCAAAATTAATTAAAATATACATTAATTAAATAATAAAATAATTATTAGTTGACTCCGGCGTTGACCGTTGACTTTCAGCGTTGACTTCGGACGTTGACCTTTGATTTCCGGTGTTGACCCGTTGCATTGAAATAAATCAAAAGACACTCAACCTTGAGTGGTGTAGTGGTTGCATTGCTTGTCTTACTTCCATGAGGTACCAAGTTCAAATCCTATGGGTTACAATTTTTTTATAAAAAAAAATACAACTAATTTAGCAAAGAACAACTAAACTAGCAACAAAACAGAACTAATTTAGCAGCATCAGACAACTAACCTAGCAACAAAACACAACTAACCTAGCAACAAAAGACAACTAACATAGCAGCAAGAAAGAAATAACCTAGCAACAAAAGACAACTAACCTAGCAGCGAGAAAGAAATAACCTAGCAACAAAAGATGAAGACACAGAAAAAAGAAAAGACATAGAAATGCTCTCACATCTCACTACATTTCTCTCTCTAAAACTTCAACCCCGCCGGTTCAACCCCAACCACCGCCCCAACCACCACCGCTCCTCCTCCTCCATCGTCACCCCCGCCTAGTCGTCTCCTCCGGCCGCCGCCGACGGCGGCTTCCCCGGCCAGGGGCCTTCGGGCCTGCCCCTTTTTTTTCTCTCGGTGTTCACCTCAACTCGCTATTATGGTTACCCCGCCCACATCATCACCGGACCTTCAGCCACCTCAACACCATCACACGGTAAGCCTCTCGCCGGAAATTATTAAACTTCTTAACACCCCAGAATTTCAGCAAGTTATCGAAGCAATTTTGGGCAAAAAATCCGGGTTGGAAGAGGGAGAAATCCCGCCTCTCTCAACCGAAAATCCGAGCGGTTCTGGTGCCGGAATTTCAGAGCCCCCGACCGTCGAACTCGCTTCCGTCGATCAAATTGATTTTGGAACCTTACCGTTGAAATCACTTCCGTCGGTCAACCCTAGTAACACAGGTCCGGTCGTCAACATCTCTCCAGTTGGTAACACAGGTCCGGTCGTCTTTGGGTCATTGCCGCCGGATTTTTCATCTCCAGTCATACCAGATTCAACCTTCAAAGGCGGCGATTCACAGATCCCTTCCCCTCAGCTGCGCATCGAGTCTGCCAATCAAAAGGATCCCCATCACCCATTTGGGCCTAACAGCTATTCTGGCCCAATATCTACTCACATTAAAAAATGCGATGCCAACACAACTCAACTGGGCCGTTTCATGGCCAACCCCTCGCAGCCCATTTCACAACCAACTTTTAACTTACTCTCTCATGGAGCTTTCCAGCCCACTAAATCTCAGACTCCTGCCCCGCCACTTCAGCCCACAGCCTATTCCAAACAACCCGCCCCTCAAACCGTTTCCCAATCTCCATCACAGACTGTTTTTCCCAAAGGCGAAACCAATCAACGCCAACATCAAGCTGCCTCCATCTCTCATCACGCCGGCCACCTGACCCTTGCCGACGCCGGCGCCGGCGCCGGAATCGCCACAGCCAACGGAATCTCTCAGCCGGGTGGAACTCCATTCGGGGAAGTCCCGAAAATAATTTTTACGCCCAGAATTCTCGGGCCTCGGCCAAATTTACGTTCTCCGACCGAAAAAATCGCCGGAATATCCACCACTAATGCCGGAGACGCCGAAACAACTGTCTTGTATGTTCGGGAAGACGGTGTGATTGTTGCGAGCCCAAGTCCGACGGCCACGACCCACTCCTCCGGACTCCCCACAAACGGGACACCGCCGACGGGTCACCCCACAGCTAACCCCGGGCCTCAATCGGGCACCTCCAATGGGCCGCTTTCATTCCGGGAGGCTATTACTGGGAGAAGAAATGGCGACACGGGCGCCCCGCGGCCGTCACCCAAGGACTTTATTTTTGACGGAGAATACGAACATGCTTGCGGGACCATTATCCGCTCGGAGGGGAACAAAGTGAAGGCCCGATACACTGAAGCTGAATCTGTCGCTCTTGCAGGTAAGCTAGCTAACACTCTGGTCTTTAAGTTTTCATATGCTATCCCCGCTCCCCGAGATATATCTGCTGGGTTAGGAAAACTGGGTTTTAAGGGTAGAGTGTCATCGAAGTGGTATAATTTCAACCATCTTCTTGTCTTGTTTCTCCTCCCCGAGGACTATAACGAGGTCTGGCTTAAGACCTCCATTCATTTGTGTGGATGCCCAACTAGGGTGTTCAAATATTATGCCGGGTTTAACCCGAAGACGGAGGCGCCAGTCGTCCCCGTGTGGTGCCGCCTCCCCGGCCTCCCACTCCATCTTTACGACCGTGCTGCCATCACTACACTAGCTAAGTGTATTGGGCAGCCGATTCGTATCGACGCCCCGACGGCCCTTCAGACGAGGGCTAACGTGGCGCGATTTTGCGTCGAGATTGATCTGAGAGCTGAGCTCGTCCATGAGATAGAGATTGAACAGGGCTCAGAGTCTCTTGTTCAGCGGGTGATCTATGAGAAGATCCCCGTGTTTTGCACCTCGTGCAACCACGTGGGTCATGTTGTGGCCGATTGCTACATCAGTGGCAATAAGCCACGGCCCGCTCTCCCGCAGCGCCATCGTGCGACCCAGCAGGGAACCTCCACCAGCCGGAGGGACCCGAAGGGAAAGGGCAAAAGCCCTCTCCGCGAGCCCGAGACCCCGAAAGGGTCTAAGGATAAGAGCAAGGCTGTGATTGTCGATACTGCCCAAACTGGGAAGGATGCTCATCCTAACCAGCCTAAGCAGTTGGCCTTAGTGGGTCCCAAGCCCAAGTCCACGGGCTTTCTCCCTAGACAGACCTTACAGACGGCCTTCAAGGCCAACCATTCCTACTTTGCTATTCTTTCCCCTGAGGCAGAGAAGGAGTCTGTTCCTTCCTCCAGCAGGCCTCCTAAAATTACTGATCTTACGCTTCTGGATGACGATGACCTCCTTGGAGACGACATGGACCAGCCGGACGGCACGACCAGGAGAGAGTCCATCCACCTATCCGATTATAGTGCACGCGATGCCGGTCTTTCGACCGTGCGCGCATCTAGCCCGGTCCGATCTTCGGAATTGAGGGCTACTGCCGCCACCGCTCCCCCGAAAGGGGATGAGTCGGCCCATCCCCCCCTGCTGAGATTCGGAGCTCGGTCGAGCTGATAGCCAGCTCTCAGCCCTCTCCTACCGGCGAGCACCCGAGTGCTCTGCATGTTGGACCCTCTCTTTCGCCCATCCCCGAGCAGATATGCAGCCTCAACCGCGCGCAGCATGACGTCTCGTGCGAGAGCTTCACCTCTAGTGCTTTTCTTCACCTTGACAGACAGGAGACAGCCCCGGAGATGGGGCAACCCGCTGATGCTGCTATAGGTCAGTCTGTCCAGCTAGACGACTCACAGCTACGAGTACATACCGAGGCAGACAGACCTCGCGGACCAGAGCCATGCAGCATACGAGACGGCGGACGATCTCCCCTGCTATTGGACCTTTCCGCCGCACGACACGACGGACGATTTCCCATTCTTTAGGTGGCCCGAATCAGCCTCGCCATAGGCGGATTACGTCCGGTGGTTCTTGCGACCGTTGATATGTCCATCACATCCACTACTTGGAATGGCCGTGGCCTGGCGAACAGGGCTACTCTTTCTCACTTTCATTCTCTCATTCGTGACCACAGAGTCGATTTTGTTGGCTTTATAGAGCCGATGATTCGCACTCCTTCTTTTGACTACTACTCGCGTCGTCTGGGCTTCCATTCGGGTGTGGGTAATATTTCGCACAAGATCTGGTTCTTCCACTCGTGTGACTACACTTGTCGGGTCCTCCGCGATACCGATCAGGTGCTCCACGTAGAGATTTCCGCTGACCACCTCCCAGAGCCCATCTTTCACACCTTGGTTTATGCCAAGTGTACTAGGGTAGGGCGATATGACCTTTGGGACACCCTGCGTGAGATTGCCGAGAATATGGAGGGATTGCCATGGATGGTTAGTGGCGATTTCAACATCTTTCTGCATCCCGATGAGCGTGTGGGTGGCCGCACGGACCGGTCACGGGAGATGTGGGATTTTGCTCAGGCGGTGGCGGACTGCGAGTTAATTGACCCTGGATGTGATGGTGAGCCCTTCACGTGGGTGAGGGACGGACTCAAAGAGAGGTTAGACCGTGCCTTAGTTTCTGAGGCATGGTCGAAGGTGTTTGCGGTTACGACCGTCACACACCTTACTCGATTTGGGTCCGACCATTCACCCCTTCTCATCCGGTGCCGATTTTCGAACACCCGACGCCGCTCTTCGTTTAGGTTCCAAAACATGTGGGTTCGCCACCACTCCTTCCACGACACTGTCAGGGATTCCTGGCTTCAGCCGACTGGGCTCTTCGGGATGCGCAATCTCGAGGCAAAGCTCGGCAGACTGCGGCGTCGGTTGAGACAGTGGAACTGGGATGTTTTTGGAAACCTTCATCAGCGCCTTGCTGCGGCTCAGAGTGCGCATGCGACGGCTGAGCGGGCCTATGACCTGGATCCCACTCCGGAGAATAGAACTGCCATGCACCGCTGCCACGCCGAGTACCAGCTCCGACTCCTTATGGAGGAGGACTTCTGGAAGCAGAAGGCGGCCGTTCGCTGGGTGGCCGAGGGCGAGCGGAACACTAGGTTCTTCCAGGGCTACGTTAGGCAGAAGCGTGCTAAGTCGTACATCCATAGTATCGAGGCTGATGGGTCATCCTTGACCCAGGAGACTCAGATTCGGGAGTCGGCTGTTGCTCACTTCCAGACCCTTTTCACCGCTGACAGAGGGTCCCTCGTGGCCCCGAACGCTTCTTTTTTCCCCACTATCCCTCCTTCGGTCGATCTCATTGGCCTCTGTG